GAGAGAGAGAGAGAGAGAGAGAGACGGTTTCACTGTGTAGTCCTGACTGACCTGGAACTCGCCATGTAGAGCAGGCTGGCCTCACACTCTCAGAAATCCACCTGCTTCTGCCTCCCAAGTGCTGGGATTAAAGGCATACATCACCACACCCAGACAAATAAAAATGTTTTACTTTTAGTTTTACATTTCACTTTTTGCAAAAGAGGGACTTGAACCCTAGCCCATGTACATGCTAGGCACTCTGCCACTGAGCTACATTCCTAGCCCAGAAATCAGTAGACAGGAAAGAACTAGAGAACACACTAATTCTCCCAAATAACTGTAAATTAAACACATGCACGCACAAGCATGTATATATACCAGTAGACTGAAGATGTCACAAGAAAATTGTAACTGAATTACAGTTACAATCACAAGAATAAAACATCAAAATTTATGCGATGCAACAAATGCAGTCTTTAAAAGAAATTTATAGCTTTAAGTGTTTATAATTAGAAGACAGGAATTAAAGTAATTTACTAAAGTTTCATCTAATAAGCTAGAAAACGAAACTCAAATTAAACCCAAAATAAGTAGAAGGAAGAAATAATACAGATTAGAGATCAAAAAGAGAAAACTGACAGGCAGAAAAAACTGGTCAGATACTGGTTCTTTGAGGAGATGAAAAAAATAAACCATTACCTACACTAAGAAGAAAAAAATACTATTGATTATCAGTAGGAAAAATGAAAGGAGAAAATAGAATATTAACTGTAGATCCCACCAATATTAAAAGATAACAAAGAAATAGTACAAAGAATCTTATACCAATACATTTGACAATTTAGATACAATAGGCAAAAATCTTTAAAAAACAAAACTTGCTGAAACTAATGAAAAATGGAATAACAATCAGAATTGGCCTATATCTGTTTTTAAAAAGTTGAACTACTGTTTAAAGTTTAGGTCCAAGTACTGTTACTTTTATTTTATGTGTGAGTGTATTGCCTGCATGCATGTAAGTGCACCTGTGTTGTGCAATGCCTGCAAGAGGTCAGAAGAGGGCGTCAGATCCCCTAGGAACTGGAGTTACAGACGGTTGTTAACCACCATGTGGGTGCTAGGAACTGAATCCAAATCCTCTGCAAGAGTAGCCAGTGCTCTTAACCACTGAGACATCTCTCCAGTTCCCAAGTGCCGTTACTTTTGAATGTTACTGTGCTGGACAGCTTTAGTTGTCAACTTGACACACCTGATTAGAGGAAACTGCAATTGAGGATTGTCTCCATTGGATTAGCCTGTGGCCATGTCTGTGGGGCATTTTCTTGATTGTTGAGTGATGCGGGAGAGCTCAGCCCACTGTGGGTGGTGCCACCCCTGAGCAGGTGGTCCTTATTGTATAAGAAAACAGGCTGACCATGGGACAAGGGCCCAAGCCAGTAAGCAGCATTCCTCCATGGTCTGTGTTCCAGGTTCCTGCCCTGAACTCCTACCCTGGCTTTTCTTGATAATGGACTGTGTTGTAAGCCAAATAAACCCTTTGATTTGCTCAGTGTCATTATCACAGCAATTGCAAGCAAACTAGAACAGTTACTAAATATTTAAGGAGGAAATAAAAGTGAGTCTCACACTCTTTCAGAAAACTTTTTAAAAAAAAGAGGGAATGTGCACTGATTGTGGTAGTGTACGTCTTTAATCCCAGCACTCAGGAGTCAGGCAGATGGATCTGTGAGAGATCAAGTCAGCCTGGTCTACACTGCAAGGTTCAGGCCAGCTGGGGCTACAGGAAAATCCTATTTCAAAAAATGAGAGGGGTAGGGGAAAGAATGAGACAAAACTGCTAACAAAACCTAATGAAGAACAAAGAAAAATGAGAATTAGACAAACCTAAATGATTCACAAACATCAACTCATGAATTCTTCATTAACTTTTAGTGATTGGACCCTTGATACATGCAGCAGCAATTGTGTCAGTTTTGTTCTAGAAATGCAAGGGATGTAATCCCAGGAATTTATCCCATGATCTATTTTAGTAGTAAAATAAATGTAATTCATTCAGATTGACAGAACAAATACAAGAAAACCGTAAAACTTCAACAAGTGTCTTTAAAAATAACAAATCTGGGGGCTGGAGAGATGGCTCAGTGGTTAAGAGCACTGACTGCTCTTGCAGAGAACCCAGGTTCGATTCCCAGCACCCACATAGCGGCTACAAACCATCCTTAACTCCAGTTCCAGGGGAATCCGAAGCCCTCTTCTGACCTCCGTGGGATTGCATGACATGGGTGCACTCACATACATGCAGGCAATACACTCATACACATAAAATTAAAAAAATAAAATATTTTAAGAAGATATGGTAACAAGACATCTCTGTGGAGTGTATGGGAGCTCTCTGTACTTGTCTTCAACATTTTTCTATAAATTTAAAATTAAGTTTATTATTTTAAAAACAAATATGTCAGTTTTTCTCATGATAGTCAAAGCTAGAAATATTCTAAATGTCTTTCAAGAAGAGAATGGATGGCTGGTGGATTCATGTAGTGCAATATACCTAATGAAAAAGAATGAACCTCTGATAAACATCATTGAGTACACGGATCCCAAAAACATTGTGTTGAAAGAAGCCGTAAACAAAAGAATTTGCATCACATGGTTGTATGATTCCATCTTTACAAAGTTCTAGAATAGGCTAAATAATCTATGATAGGAAAAAACCAAAACAGTCTCTGGATTGTGTGGGTGAGGATTGAGTGGGAAGAGGCCATGAGAAGAACTTTCTGGGATGATGGTAATGTTCTATATTTTTTGTTGTTCTCCCCCCTCCCCATTTTTCCCTTCCACTTCCTTATTTCTTGCTCCCTCCTTCCCTCCCTCCCCTGACTGACTCCTTACTATGTAGTCCAGGCTGGCCTTGAACCCACAGTCCTCTGCCTTCTAAGTACTTAGATTTACAGACATGAAGGTCTGTAGGAATTTGCATTATCCAAGGATATACATTTTTTTAAAAAGTAACTGAATAACACACTTAAAATATTTCAGGCTGGAGAGATGGCTCAGTGTTTCAGAGCACTGGTTGCTCTTGCAGAGGACCCAGATTTGGTTCCCAGCACCCACATGATGGCCCATGACCATTCATAACTCCAGTTCCAGGGGATCCAATGCCCTCTTCTGGCTTCTATGGGCATTGTATGACACAGGTGCACTTACATACATGCAGGCAATACACTCATAC